GTCAAGTTTAAACAGCATTTTGCCAGAAATAAAACAAGTGCATATATGCAGCATACGGAATATGTTAACTTTTTTTTATCTGGCCCTCTGAGCATTGAGTTGTGAATTTCAGAACTAACAAAGTTTCCATGCGTACGTTCATCTGACCACCCCAACCAAACTCCACCCGATGCCACCACGTGAAGTGAAGGATACGATAGGCAGGTAGTCTTTTTTTTTTGTAAACAGTTGCGTGTAAAGGAAAGCTGCCTCGTCCACAAGACTTATGTGGGGCGATGTTCACCTACGCCTCAGAGCTGTTATAAAGATACTCTCACGGTGAACACCCTACTCCGATATGCCTCTGTTTAACTTAATTTGTGCAAAAGACAGAGCTCTTGTTACAAACAAACTACTACTCGAAGCTTAGCTTCTGGAGACAGCCTATGTGGTAAGCGGTTTTCTCACTGGCTGCCATGGCTAAGTAACTTCAGAATTTATGCCTTGCTAGAGAAGTATCAAATGTCTGCGATTTGTACTCGTTTAGTTTGCCTAACACACAGTTTCAGTTTTTCCGCTTGCCTGTGTCGGCCTAAAATAAAGGTGTCTGTTCAACATTGATAAATGCTAGGGTTTCATGTGCCGAACAAGATACTACTTTAATGTATGATGTAGTGTGTGTATCAAGATTGCGACTACTTGGGGTTCTCTAATGCACACATATATATTGGTTCACGGGTGTTCTTTTTATATTTCACCCCGATCCAAGTCCCCGCCACGGTAGTCTAGTGACTAAGGCACTCTGCTGCTGACCAGCAAGTCGCGGGATCCAATGCCGGCTTCAGCGGCTGCATTTTCGATGGAGGCAAAAATGCTATAGGCTCGTGCGCTCAGATTTGGGTGCACGTTAAAGAACCCCAGGTGGTTGAAATTTGCGGAGCCCTCCACTATGGCGTCTCACATAATCATGTGGTGGTTTTGGAATGTTAAACCCCACATATAAATCAAATCAACCCCCAACAAAGTGCAGCCGTGCAGCAAAGTGCAGCCGTGCAAAGTGCAGCCCCAGTGCATACATACCGCGAACAGGGCGTACAAACGAAGCCAGCGAAAAAAAAATTGACGAAGCTACCACTTACTCTGCTTTTGTTTTTGTTTCATTTTACTGCAGATTTTGGCAGCGTGGTACCGTCGCAGCGCGGACTTATCGATGGGAGCATGTCAGCCAGCATTAGCATTAGCCCAAAACTCAGCACCCAACTAGAAAATGAGGACGAGGGAGCTGCCATCACGGCACAGTTCTGTCCCTTCGGTACTATATGCATAGACGCAGTCCGCTTCGCAGGGTGTCTCTCCGTTTTTTAGTGCTTTTTATGTAAGAGTAGCCTTCAGACAAAGTTACTTTTCTAAACCACAGTGCAGTATTACTGGCACAATGACTTTTCGAGCTGTTTGTTTTAAAATAAAGCACGCCAGCGGCGCGCGCGCGTGCTTTCAGAGTGGTACATTGGGGCCAGTCGTCTAGACGCAATTAGCCGAGTTGTGTCGAGACTTTCTGCCAGGTGCTATTTTTCGGCACGCCACCTATCCAGCGCTGGTCTCCCATAAGAAAGCGTGCGATGTCGCAGGCATCTTTCTAGAGGAGGCATTGCCCAGAGCCCACTTCGGCAGCGAGGCCAGAATAAAAAACCAATGCGAGGCTTGGCGCTGAAAATACAAAAGAAAGTAAGAAAAGCGAGAAAAGTTTCCCCTCTGCATTCTAGCGTGGCAAGTGGGCCTTTGAAGTCATGGGGTATAATCAGAGCCCTGCCATTGGTTGCTAGCATTCCGCCGCGCAGTCAGGCGCGAGCGCTGTTTCTTTATTCTCTAGATTTTTCCAAAACATCTACGAACACAACAGCCAGAATTACTGTTTTCGCACCATGGATGCCGTCAACAAACATGACTTTCGTTCACGGAAGTTCATTACGAGGCGCCAGTACAAGAGAAGGCGCCCCAAACGCAAGCGGTAAGCTCCGGCGAAGAGAGCTTCATCTGCTGCTAGGCCTTTCATCTGCTGCTAGGGTTTTTCAAGCTGTATGTCCTAGCCTCGATGACCTTGTCAGTGCTTCAGAGTGAACGATGAAAATGTTCGACGATGAAAGCAAGCGTCAGGACGAACGCGGATGCGCATTTATTTGCGAGATCGATGTGATGCAGGACCTTGTCAGCGGCGCAGTGTGCCCCAGAGGAATGCGAGTGGTGCGAGTTTTCCGTTCGAGTATCGGCAAGTAGACGATAAGGACTGGCACCGTTTTCGGAACTTTATTGCCAAAATGATGCATGTCCTGCAACTGTTATTTCATCCACGTGTATTCGTCATAGACATTCATTGGAAGCGAGGAGACGTATGCCAGCGGCAGTGCACGGGACAGCTTTGCCGTCAATGTGAAGCCAGTGGTTACAATACGTGCGGTTTTGTTCAATCCTTGGTGTTCGAAAACCAGGACACTACAACTTTGACTGCCATTGGCAACAAAGTGCATACCGCTGCAGAAAACCTCGCACGAGTCGGAGAGCAATGGCCCATCGGTACAGTGCCGCAAAAGAAGCCTGCCGGGAGGAGGCAGCTCGCAGAGACTGTCAAGATTTAACAATATGGTGCTGGGTCATTCTGAGAAGGTGAACCTTTTCTAGATAGCTTTGCTGACATTCTCTGTGAATTCCATGCAGATTGGTTGAAGAGTATATTATTAAACATTTTTTTAACTTTCGGACATGCTTTTTTCAGTTATTCATTTTGATGCATTTTTTTAGTTTGCACACTAAAATTTGTGCGCTTTTTGTAGTCAGACTGTAATGAAACTCGGCATGCCTAATGTTTAACATGTTCTGAAACAACTTTCAGAGGTTACCATAAGCATATTCAGCTAGATAATTTCAAAAGTATGGTAAAAGTGAAACTTACATTATAATATTTCTATAGACTAGCACATATTCAATGTTTCTTCGCATTATTGAATTCCTCAATTCATTAGGTGCAAGATTTACTATTTTTAGTGTTTTTTTATGCTCACTATTGTTGTCTAAGCTTGCATGAAAATGCATTCTTTTTTTTCACAATTGCATGGTCAGCAAAAAATTAGCCAAATGAGCTATAAAAAAGTGAAAGCAGATTTGAAAAGAAGAGCTCAAACTCTATAACTGGGGACAGTTTCATTGAGTCGTCACAAATTTCTGAAGAAAGTTTTTGTTGTATTAATAAATAACTCTCACGATACCAAAACTAACATGCTTGCTGCGAGAAGTTGCTTAGTAAGCCAGAAAACGTGGGTGGCGATGCCACCTTTAAGTTCTCGCCCCAGCCTCTGTGATGTCATAGATTTTGATGGCGTCTCGCACCACATACATAGTTCTCAATTCATAAAAATGAAGTACATTGTCTTCTGAGGGTGCCAAAGACTTAACGAGACCCAAAAGGCAAATAACTAATGCCAGAGTGAAAGCTCACTGTATGATGTCCAGAACAGCAATATTATCAACAGCAGAGCCCTACTTAACAAGAAATTAAGCTAAATAAATCACACGACATGTGGCCCGAGTGGGACATTTTAGAAATAATCCCAATGATGTGAGAGCATCGGACTACAATTATTCACTAGTAATCAAACTAGCTGCAATAAAAAAAAAGAACTTTCCGTGCATCAAGTAATAAAATGATGCTTGTCCGTTTCTTTGTTTCATAGAAAAAAGAACTGCCTGGTATTACTATTGGGAATAGTGCGAATGGTTCAAAAGTTCCCTTTTCGTCTGGTTAGGCTGCATAAGTGGTGCTATCAAGCTGGGCCCAGCTGAACCAAGCAAGCGAAAAATTGTTCAATGGCTGTTGTTGCTGGCGGGGACCCCGCTACTTTCGCTCTGCTGCTACTAGTGTCGGCGGCTGCACAGTAAAAGCAGGCAAGACTGGGCACGACAGCAGTGACATTAGAAATACCGCTTTCAGGCGGAGGATTTGAAGTGCGCTAACGCAATGTTGACCACTAAATTGTAATTCTATTTCAAAATAAGCACTTCCTTGGCACAAAAGTAGCACTACGAGGTTTCTGCACTGCCATTTCAATGGTAAATGTACACTGAATATTTGCCTTCAGTGTCCCTTTAACATACAAGAAATTTTATATTTTATAAGTTTTTTGTTTTTTTTTAACATTCAGGAAATTTTGTAAAATCAGTATGGCCAAAACATGGGAAAAACGTCACCATTGATGATTTCAGAGAAAAACCTAAAAGATAAACTTTCGACATTCATTTTCTCAATTATTAAATCTATAGTGGCAAAACTAACGACACTAAAATGTACAGAGTAATATTTATCAGCTTAAAGTAATTCACTGTTTCACTTTAGTGTCCCTTTAAGTACCCCGGACAATTTTAAGTTAACCAAGAGCACCCCACTACAGCAAGCCTTTTAATGATACAGTGGTATATTGGCTCCTAATGTACAAACGAAACAACAAAGGACAATTTGCTCAGCTACAGTTCTGGTGCCTCACTCCCTGACATTTATTTGTGGTTGGGGGGTGGTCCTGAACAGTCTAAAGAGCTACGCACATTCTCAAAGTACTCCCCAAACTCAATATGTACTTCTCACTAGCGTTCTGTTCTAGCAATGTGTCATATTCACCTTGCTTGTGGCTTCATAAATTCAAAACTTACGAGGTTCTCCGTGATTGAGACTTGACAAGGCACACCCCAAGTTTAATTTTTTCTTACGAGCATTCCTACAGTCTTCATTACACCACTGTTGCTTCGTCATAACAATCCCACTCATTTGTAAAATGCATGTTAATGCAGCATAAAATAAAAAGTACCATTGAGATAAAAGTTGAAAGACTACAAGTGTGCTATTTGTCAGAAGCAATTTAAAAGAACTCTGTAAGGTACTAAAAAGGACATGCCTTGTGCATAGTGGTTTGACTGTATGTGCCCCACCAAAGTATATGCTGCGTTTCCTATCAAAGTGATAATGCAGTCAGTCATACCTTCAATGCTTGGCTCATCTCTTGCACAGGTAGCAGTGCCAGCAACTTCAGCATTCAAAACAGGACCTGGGACATTTCAAGTGTATTGAAAAAATACTGATAGTACTTCAATATTAAAAAGCTTGCATCCTTTCAACATGCTTTGAGACATTTGATTTGGTTCTGTCAATAGTCAAGTACAACTATAGAAGACAGTGGCATTTCCACCGCAAAGGTAAATGCACACAAGCTTGTCCCAATGAGTGGTGCTCACTCGACAGGGTTTCCACTTGCGGCTACTTTTCACCAAATTGGCGAATTTGAGAGACCCAAGGAGACCTAAAATTATGAATGGTAGCTTGGCAAATTTTTGGTTATTTTCGGCTTAGGCCTCGACAGAGTTCTGCATTGTGTCTTCAGTGCCTTCAAAAAGATGGGTGACATTTTTTATATTTTTCGTAGTTTTAGACCCTTCTATAGAAGGTGCAACTTAGTATGTTTGTTTTGTTTCTCGTGTGTATCTCCTAATGCACTTGGATCCTGGAGGCACTGGTGCGTCCGTCAGCAAACTCCCAGCAAAATTTACGCAAGTGGACTGCTACGTGAGGCAGTGGTGTTATACTGTGTTTTTTCGGGGCTCTAAAAGCTTTCAGTTTCTTGAAAGTTTTGCTTCTGGTGCGACTTAGTGACGGTACGCATTTTGACCACAGCTCAAACTGTCCCAAATAGCTTGTCGACTACTTCACTGCTTTAGTACGCTCTAGTTTGGTGTGTAGAGTTTAAATTTATTAACATACTTTTATGCAGGACCAAAAAGTTCGGCTTCTTTCGGCAGACTTCTGAAACTGCAGTGAGGCGAATGAAGAGCAGAAGCATGACCACACACAAAGCATGGCGCGGGCATTACAACAGTTACGCAGTGCTTTCAAGTTTATTTCCATTGCTTTGTAATAAAGTTTTTCAATTATCGGACTCATAATTCCACAGCAGCGAAATTCTCTAAATCAGCAAAGGGGCTATGCGCGGTGTCCCTTTCTTGTTGTTGTGACTGCTTCATCCTGTATTAGCTACAACTGAAACCATCACAAACTTCTGTTCTGAGAGGCCAGCATTAAAGAACGCTGCTATGTCACGCATGCCCTTTCTCAGTGCTCCCATTGTGGAGCGGGGGATGTGACTGGCAGTGAAGAACATCAGTATGATATGGGGTTTATATTTGGTATCCTACTCCACAGTGCTATATATAAGAAATTTTTGTTACAAGGCACGCCACACATATAGAGAGTGGCGACTTTTTTCGCAAAATTTGAAGAAAAATGGTGATTTGGTGATAATTTGCTCATCGTTTGGCAAATTTTTCTCGAAAGTCAGTGGCAACCCTGTCACTCGATAACCATGTCATAAGCCAGATGTTGGGGCCCGCTGTCGGAGTACATCAGCATGACTATTTCGTGTTGCAGAAGTAATCAGTTGCCACGCTTCAGTCATCTGAAGCGTGGTGGGACCTTTCCTACCTTCGTAGTGTTTTATCCGATTAATAGCTATCACTAAAGGTTATTTTAGTTCATAAATGTTGCTCGACACCTTCTATGGCCCAGCAGTTTCCTATGAGGCATAGTGAAGAATTTTTAAAGGCACATGAAAGCAAAATATTCAGGTTAGGTACATGTAAGCAATTAAACTCTTACATAGAAGATGACTAGTCTTGCTTTTAGGGGAGGCTTCATAATTTTAATTAGACGCATAAAAAGAAGCTGGCAATGCATCTCTGTAGTTCCTACAAAAGCTCAGTGTCATTGCCACTTTTGAAATTTACTTAGCTTTACCTACAATTACTTATTGACAAGAAAAAGACTGGTCTGTTACAGAAAACAAACCAACCAGGCACACTATAGTTGAACCTTGTTATGACTCAATAGCATTCAGACCATAAATTAGTTCATTAAATCCAATACTCATTAACAGTAAAGATGAAAATTGTCTCTAGCAACTTGGTTCACACAAAAATACTAGATACAAAAAAACATGCACTGCACAGAACAAAGTTTTCCACAGTGCCCATGCCCGAGAGGTTTTCTTCTAGTTCAGCCGTTTTAGCCTGGAGTTTCTCCAAGTAGCTTCTTCGTATTAAAGACCATGCTTGCCAGCGTCTGCCCTGCTTATTTCCACTAAAATTTCCCCAACTTCTTAAAGGAGTCCTAACAGCAAAAGTTTTGTTTGTGAGATTTTGCAGTAATTTGTAGCTGTATAATTTCGGTAATGCCGAAATTATACTGTAAATGCTTTAAAGAATCGTACAATTAATGTTAGTAACATTAATTAAAAACGATTTTGCATCAGTTTAAAACGCCCGCTTACACTCCTCAAGAAACGGCGTCCCACAGTGGAGCAGCGCCTGAAACAGTTTTCAAATAAGGGGACCCGCGTGTGGTGAAGAATGAAATGATGAGCGTGTCCCCCTCAGCAAAAAGAAAAGCATTCCCGGCGCAAGCAGCGAAAACTACTTTGAGAGCAGCCCGACAATAGAGCAAGGGAAATGACGAACAATATTCCTCGCCGGGTGCCAGTTGGGGTATTGTGTGTGCCCCGCAAATGTTGACCCTGCAACGTCACAAGGGAAGTCCCGATCTACGTCAAACCACAGAAAATGACGATTGCACCTGAATACTGAGAAGAGCCCACACCTTCACTTTAAAACCAAATTAAAATACCTTCTAGGCTGCGCTCGTCACTAATAATCAGCTAGAGGTGGCCCCGCATGCAGGACTATCAAACAACACAAGCATCTCGAGTTTCCAAATTCGTTGTCAAAGGTCCTTTAAACCCCTCTCGGCTAAATTGTTTTCTTAATGTCCCAACCACATTTCAAACGAAAATGTGGTTGGAAATTGTCCTTCAATATTTATTCTGCTTTTTATGCTGCATTTAGAGTTTGGCACCTTGATAAAACCAAGAATTTTTTTCATTTTGGCAAATATCACTGCGGCTCTCACATTTCGGTTTCATTAATAAAAGAATAAATGTCACAAAAATTAAGCATGGCCAACGAAAGTTCACACTTACTATAAAATGCCGAACAAGCGCCCCTTTAAGGTGAAGGATCTATAAAATATCATCCTCAAACGCCGGAAGAAGAAGAAAGAAGACTGCTGCCTGGAGCGAGCGCGCGCTACTTCACTACTTCTAATAAACCGTATTCGTTCGAAGCAGTCCCTGGTCTCGATCGTCTTAATAATGGTGCCGTGACCAGGATACTACCTCCTCGCCGGCAAGAAAGGTCAACCTGCCACGAAGCAGCAGAGAAGGAAACGGCGGAGGAGCAGAGGATCGACCTGGATCGAGCGACGAGACCACGGTGGACAGTACGAGCATCAGAACGAACGATTGACAAGTAAGGAGTCATTGTTAACCACTTCAATATGAGCAAAGAAGTGATAACGAAGAAAAGGAAAACGCTTCGCTCTTAGATCACGCGACTGATTAACGCAGCCGAGCAGCAAATTAATGATGGAGCTAACCGGGAGCAGCTGCTTACAACGCAGGCGCAGATTAAAGCAATAAACGAAAATCTCAAGAGCGCGAACGAGCAAATGGAAAAGTTTCTTACAGAAGACAATGCCTAAGCTGAATTCGAAAGCGTCATAGAGTACGACATGAAATTAACGACGATCTTATCTGTAATAGAATTCAGACTTCGACAGCCTGAACAATCGGATTCAAGCGATAGGACAAGGCAAGTGACGCCCTCAAGTACAGGACAAGAAGCAACGGAACTAGTTAAGCTACTTAAGCTTGAAATGATAAAGTTTGGGGGAAAAACTTTGGAGTGGAACCGCTTTTGGTCTCAGTACGAGTCGGCAGTTCACCTGAGACCGAACATGAGCAAGGGATAGAAGTTCAATTACTTGTTAGCATCACTAACCAGAAAAGCGGCGGCTGCTATTGAAGGACTTCAGTACTCGGCAGAGGAAAATTATGATGACGCAATCAAAATACTGCAAAAAACGTTCGGCAATCGAGAACATTCCATTGAAATGCACATGAATGAGCTATTGAGTTTGGAGTAAGTGAGGTTTGTTCAAGATACCGATAACTTAAATAGGCTAGTACAGAGAGTGCAAGTTAAGATATTGGCACTCAAATCACTAAAAGTGGAAACCGAGAGCTATGCGCCGATGTTGTTATGGGTAATGAAAAGAGCAATTCCACCAGAATTATCAGTGCAGTTCAAGTCAAAAGATGCTATGAGCAACAGCTCAGCTTCAGAAAACGGCGAGCAAAACAATGCAATGGGAAAAGCAAGCGAGGAAAAGCTGGACAGGCTTATGTTATTCTTAAGAGAGCAAGTGGCTTTTCGTGAAGAAACACAAGGTGAACAAGAGAGGATAACTGCAAAACCAAGAGAGAACCGCGGACAGATGCGCACAACTTCAAGCTTCTATAGCTCAGCGGACAGAATATGCTTATTCTGCAAGCAGAACACCCACGCAACCGAAAACTGTCGTAGAAGCATTCCAATAAATGAAAAGAAAGCTATGCTTACCGAAAATAGAGCATGCTTCAGATGCACGCGACCAAACCACACTGCACGCATTTGCAAGGCCCAAGTAAAATGCAAGCAATGCAAGGGACGACATGCCACGTCGGTATGTAGAACGGTGATGCAGAAAACAAGGGCAGAGCTGGTCTCAAGAGCGCAAGGCGAAGCGACGACGTCTACGCTACACGCAACCGAAAATATCAAGCATAAGTTTGTGCTTTTGCAGACGGCTGTAGCGTGCGTAGAAGAAGAAACATGTGGCAACCATTGCCGTTTGTTATTAGACAGCGGAAGTCAACGTTCATTTATTTAAGTGGGATTAGCGAAAGAAATAGGTGCGAAGGTGTTGCGACAGGAAAGGCTGACGATTGGTTCATTTGGAGGAGACGAAAAGGTCAAACTAATGAACGTGGTGCAAGTGACTGTAGGATCATGAGAAACAAGCACGACAACAGTGATTGAAGCGTTACAAGTCGACGTCACCTCGCACAGTTGTATACCCACTCCAACTAAGAAACTCAGCGAGAAAATGAAACAGCTAAAGATG